CTTCGTAGAAATTTCAACTTAAAATGACTATAAAAATAAACTGTGCTCATGTATTTTTTAGATTTTTTGTAACAGAATTAACTACTTACGTGAAATCTTGTTTTAAATTTTCAATCCTTAGATATAAAAGTTGAACATTTTATAAAATTTTAACTAAAAAATAATTATTCAATTTTAAATTTGATAAATTTTGTCGAAATTCGATCTTTAAGTGCTTATAAAAAAAAATTGTGCCAATGAATTTTTAATATTTTTCAACTAAAATCGTAACAATATATCAGAAGCCTTGTATTAAATTTTTACACCATTTGGCCCAACAGATAAAACTTTATTGATATTTATAAAAAAAAAAACTAAACAAATTGAAAACTGTCATTGTCCGTAAACAGCTCAAAAAGAGTCAAAATATTTTCAAAATTGTAAGTTGTGTAGAAAGTGCTAATATAAATATTCAGTGAAATTTTCATGTATTTACGGTCATTTGTTTATGAATTATCCAATGTTATTAACATTTGAATTTCAAACGCTCATAAAAATTTAATTTGACTTTCTTACAAACATTTTTTTTTTGATAATGGTGGATAATCTTAAAAGGAATCTTGTATTACATTTTAAAATCTTAGATTTAAAAAAAAAATTTTTACGAATTCTTAACACAAAATAATTTGCTAATTTTCGTAATTATGCCATATTTTGTCAATTTTTGGACTTAAAATGCTTTTCAAAAAAAACTGTGACTAAGGATTTTTAATATTTTTCATCTGCCTTTGAAACAACATATTAGAAGCCCTCTATTAAATTGTCAAGCTTTTTTAATCAACCAATAAAATTTTATTGATATTAATAGAATAAAAAACTAAAAAAATTGGAAACTGAAAATGTCCCTAAACAGCTCAAAATAAGTCAAAATATTTTTAAAAAAGCATGGTGTATAGAAAATATTAATATAAACGGTCAGTAAAAACTTCATGTATCTACGGTCATTTGTTTTAGAGTTACACCAAAAACCAAAATCGATTTTGAGTAAAAATTCCCGTTTTTCCTTAATTTTTCTTTTGTTTTACTTGGCGCTTTTGAAAATTACTGCAATATTTAAATTTTGACCTCTTCAATTCACCAACGATATTCACTTTCCAATCGAACAAGATACCGAAGTTGAAAATCGAAGCATTATTTCGACTACTTATCGTGTACACAGACACAATTAAAATTAAAAGATTAAAAAATAAAAAATAAAAAATAAAAAAAAACACACATCATTGTAAAATCAATTCATTCATAGTTCCACTCAGAATCTAAAATAGTGCAAAAGTATATATGTATAGTAGATAGTAAAATCGTTTTTCTTATATTACTATATTATATCATTGAATTCAAATTGAACACCATCCATTACACATTACAGTGATGCACTTGTAACCTACTGTACAGCAGAGCGACTTTTTATCATTAAATATTATTTGCTTACCAACTGAGAACTACGACTATTACAAGACAGTAATATCTCTAACTAAACCTATCAATTTAAGTATACTCGGATACTATAGCTAGATACTGTAGCTTGACGTCCTAATAAAAGCACCGAAGAAATGTGTCCGGAAATTCGCTCGTCACATTTATAATATAATATTGTGTAGGTCACATCCGAAAATCACACAATGATATGGTTGTCATAAGAAATGCCTATTCTAAAATGCAGTTGGGAAATCCCATTACAAGTCTATTGGTCTAAGGCTTATACGACAAGTATGTGCACATGAAATGGCATGCATTTACAAAAAGGCACCCGTCCATTACTCGTGGGTAGGAAACCCTTCAGAGAGGGTGGTTTTGATTTAACGTGCGGCTTACTTTTAGCGTACTACATGCCGCGGTACAACGTGTGTGGTGTATAAAAATGATACGTGTATGTATGGTTATTATACGACCTGGGTATACTGCCATTTAACGTGATCGGTGATCACGTTGCAGTATCCAGCTCACTCAGCTCAGTACACGTGTTCCGATTCCATTTAGTAGGTAGGTAGTATATAGGATCTAATATATAGTTTTTTATCAATACTAATCGTAGGTATCAAATAAATTATAATAATATGGAATATACAAGAAATAATGGGCAAAGGGTGGGCAGCTGCGTATACCAACATTTTTGGTGCCCCTTACTTAAAAAATTTAATTTTTTTTTAAAAAAATAAGATGTTTTTTTATCCTTTGCCAAATTATTATGATAATTTATAATTATATTATTATCAGTAGACCAGTAGTAGTTACTAGTTACTTATCATTGGAGTGGTTATGTCTTTTCTAGCGTTGATATGTACCTACTCGAGATTGGATGTGGGAGACGCGATGTAAAGAAGATAAGGAGACACCACTTGTGGCATTTCGACGGCAGTTCGATAGTACCTCGAGAGCGTGGTAACGGTAACGAGTAACGAAACCATTCGCTGGGGGGGGGGGGGCTGTTTTTCTTTCTTTTTGCATATAAAAGACGATGAAGAGAAGATTTTCTTTGTAAAATAATAAATGATTGTGAAGTTACTTCCATGACATTTATATAATAGGTACAGTCGTCCAGATGCAGCTTTGCACTTCGTTTATAATGTCAACAAATTTTTCATTGCACGCACATTATAATTTGGTTTTAGATTGTATTGTCTTCGGTTATGTGTGGTTTATGACTGGTTGCTCAATTAGTAAAAAGTAACAAACTAACAGTAGGTACTAACAACCAGGAGGAAATTCCAGGATGATAAAAAAAGATATTTTATGAGTAAATATTATCGAATGTTTTCACAATATTTATTGCCATTTCCTTTGTTAGTTGACGGTGAATCAGAGGCGTAGCCAGGAATTTTGTATGGGGGGTATTAAATGTGCTAAAGGTGAAGTGGAATGTGTACTGTATGTGTTGATTCCAATAAATTATTTGTATCATCCTGCTTTACTAATTACATTTCAAATACATTTTAATATTCAATCTTTGTATTTTAATAAAACTATATTATTATATGATTATTTAAACTGTGATTATAATATTATTAGATCATCATTAGCTCTATTAATTGGGATTGCGTGTTTCATAATTTGAAAAATTACGAATATAATGTGTTCTATGACATTATTTTTGAAATTATTTAGTGTCATTGCATTAAAAAAAAACATTTATACCCTATATGGTTTAGTTCGAAAGGTTTAAAAGTGTTGAAAGTTTTTTTTTTTATTATTATTAGAAACCAACAATATATACAATCTGTAACAAATGTATACGATAGGTAATATGAGGGGAAGGGGTTAACACCCAAAACCCCCCTGGGTACGCCACTGTATATTATACATATAATATTATCAGATTAATAAAAAATATGATTATTATTCACATTATTTTCTTCATAAAAACATCAATAATTTATAATAATATTGTAAATATTGAAAAAATGGAGTTTTCAGTGTGTCCGAATACAACCTTTATTTCCTAATGTCCCAAGTGCTCTAGAATCAGTTACCTATCACCTTAGTGGATCATCATATTTTTTACGTATAGCCTGAATGCGCCTCGATTCGTTAGAGTTATCCTTGGTGTGCCACAAAATGGTTGTCATAATTTATTTTATTATTTTGACTTAAACTTATTTTAGATTCTGTGTGGCGAGAAAGAATGTATTGATTTTACAATGATGTTCTTTTTTTCTGTCTGTCTGTCTATTTTCGAGATCAGCATCTTTTCTGATAGAAAAGTGTATCTAGATGGTATTTTGGGACGTCAAAATCGAACATTTTGAGTAGTTTCAAAAAGCGTCTGGAAAGTTTAGTGAGCTTTCTCAACCATAAGCGTAACGTAATCAATTTATATAGAGAGACTATAGTATTATGTTTCTGGTACATTACATAAATTCTAAAAATGTACATGAAGTGGAGCTAATCCTAATTCCAGGAGGGTTTTAGCCCCCCCCCATTCCACGCCTATGTTCTCTTCTTGTTTCCTGCTTAATACAACTAGACAGATTTCTTTATGTTTTATATTTTAATTTTTGAAAGGATTTATAGTGTGCACTCTATTACCTAGTACCTACTGCAGTTTCCTAGATTGAAATGTATTTTTCAAGGATTTTAGTGAATGTTATACTACATTTTTTGATATTTTAAATGCACTTAAATCGCAGCCTTAATAATTACAACAATAATTAGACTATTAGAGGCACTCATGTGTTGCGCAAAAACGCCACTCGGTATATCACGAAATTCCCTGTGAACTAAGGCATTAGGTACAGAATTCTACGATAATACATTGTATTATGTACGATAACAAAACACATGTAGGTACCGTCTTATATCTGGTACATTACCATTCATCGTCATCGTCGAGTCGCATGCAACGCGTCGCCAACGCACACGTGCACGGCATGAGCATTGGTGGGCGACGGTTTATATAACGTTAAAACGATAAAATACAATAATAATTACAGCACACGCGAGTCGCCAGCACCCGGCGACCGTCTTGCAGCATGCGTCACGTGTACGGTGACGTGAATGTATGCGCAGCGTCTCAGCGTCGCGAGGCCCTGCGACACGCCGCAGCGTCGCCGAGCGCTGCTGCGTTCGGTGCTCGTCACGTGTGGGTCGTGGTTCACGTGGAACCACGGCTTTCCACGGCCCTATGAAGACTGCGTGCAAGGCGATCCGAACGTTCAGTCGTATCTGGTACTCGTATCTGCAGCGATATACGATATAATATTTTATACCGGCATATCATTGTAATACCGTATAATCATATCACTAACGTAATATTATTATACCCACATAGCCGTGCGCTGCAGTAGTAAACCGAAAACCGTAAACGAAAAACCGAAAACCCTCAGGGTGCATATCTCATAATAATCATAATTATATCACTCGTAATTATTACGGTCACTCGCCAAAATCCGTCCGTTCCGTTTCCGATCGTAACCGATTCAGCAGACAAACACTTTGATTGAGCCTGCACCTGCACCAAACACGTCATGCCGAACAACGACGTCCAAACCACCGAACAGATGGAACGACAGAGCGATTGCATTTCGTACGCGTTCCGCAGCATGGTGATGTATGAAGACGGCGGCGGCAGCAACCGCAACAGCAACAACAACAGCAACAACAACAGCAACAGCAACAGCAAAAGTAACAGCAACAGCAACAGCAACAGCAACAGAAACAGTGGAAATGGCGGCGGTGACTCGAACTCAAGTGGAAACGGCGGTAGTGACATTGAAGACGATTGTGAGAGTTGGTCCGAGGATGGCAACAGCAGCACTGGGGCCAATGATTCTTCGTCCTCCGGCAGCGCTGACGAGGGCTGCTACAGTGGTGACGGCGAGAAATCGTCGACGAACCGCAGTGGCGGCAGCAGCAGTGGCGGCAGCAGCAGTGGCGGCAGCAGCAGTGGCAATAGCAGCAGTGGCGGTAGCAGCAGTGGCGGTAGCAGCAGTGGTGGCAGCAGCAGTGGTGGCAGCAGCAGTGGTGGCAGCAGCAGTGGTGGCAGCAGCAGTGGTGGCAGTAGCAGTGACGGCAGTGGCAGCGATGGTTGTAGTGGCGACAACAAGCGTAAGTGGTTCATATCTTTGCGCACCGTACTCGACCGGGTGGTCGGTATCGAGCGCAAGGGCCGCAGCAAGAAGAGAGTCGTCAAGTCCATTCTCCGGCCGCCAACCACTTACAAATACGTCATCGGCATGTCCGGGCTCTCGACCAAGGTCGCCGTCTATCCTAAAACCACCATGATGTGAACCCAATTTGCCGCCACCGTTCTATCGCCGTACCCACTGCACGTTTGGAACCTTATCGAGAATCACTGCACACATGACCATGACGACCAACTCCGGTTGTCGCGTTTTCCGACCGCCTCCACAGCAACCGCCTCTGCGACCATCGCCTCCACGATCGAGTCCGTCACGACCGTGGTCAGCGGACGTCGAGTGCCGTTCTTTCCCTGGTATCATTTGAAAATTTCGTGACGTCGTCCACGTCGTTGGTCGCACAAGCGGTCCGTTCCTACTGCAACATGCCACTGCAACAACTACAGCCACACACGCAGGAATTATTACATAAATATTGGGCGCATTCGTATCCGTTCCGCCGTAACATCCTGTATTGAAACATCAAAGGTATATAATAATATTATCGACTTTAATCGATTCCGCCGAGTCTTATGTAAACCAGTCGAAACCGGCCAATGTCCGGATAGGAGCTAATAATTAGTTAACAATTATTATTAATTATGTCTTACTATTATACATTTTCTTGTTTTTCAATAATATTAATTTATAACGTGACGAATGGCAATGCGCTTGATTTTAAAATGTTTAATTGAAAAAAAGGTACCTCAAAATTGAATATTTAATATGATATAACATACCGACTCTAAAAATACTTATGCCCGTATGCATAGTCATATGGATACGGACATTAGAGTTTTTAATATTTATATTGTATCTCATAAAATTTTTGAGGCTCGGCAGACTCGATACAAATCGGCGGAATCCATGCATGCCCCGATATATTTAGAATTAGGTATATATAATATAGGTTTATGTTCTATCTATAAGTCGTACACTAATACGATATATATATATTTAACTTATATTATTTATTTTAATATCATCTAACCGAACATATAACAACCAACAAAACGTCCCTGCATGTTTTTAGACCAAAAGTGTTTTTTGATTCGTAGAGATTTTCTGGCCTACGCGTATATTCAAATGGGCAGCTATCACAGCTGTGGATTAAAACAAATATTTCAAAACGGTCTACGAATCTAAATCACTTTTACCATTTATATTATGGTTACATTACGAAAGGATACATTTTGAAAAATTATTTTGTTAATTTTGTCGTAAAAAGTTTTAACTAAAGATGATATTTTACTTGTGATAATTATAGTAATTTTAGAATAGTGTACGCTATAGGTACTTAAATATGGTTTGACCCTCGTAGTAGTATCTTATTTAAATGTAGTGTATTATACGATATTATAATATTATTATGTATTAGGCTTAGACGATTTTCTTGGTAAGATTATATTTCCATTTTATACATACATTTAAACATTTTTAATGTGACTATATTTTAAATAGCACAGTTTGAAGTAAAAATAATAATTAATATTAAAGGTACAAGAGAGATTTATAATACTGAAATATATGAAACATTATTATTAATCTATATACCCTATATAGTATATAATATAACATATTATAACTTCCATGTAACAATTACTATGCCTCTCAATTATCGTGTGATTTTAATGTGTTTCATATGAACTAAGTAGATGTCGATAGAAATGTAACAATAAAAATAAATACTATGATGTAAAATTACTGTTTCAAATTTTTTGAAATTAGGTCCTGAATCTGTTCTTGGTTTATTTATAATTTTAGTCCACGTGAACGGTAGTCGGTAATCCTATCCATTGGTTCATAGGTAGCCAGGTAGGTACTTGAGAGTAAAAACTGATAGCTATAAATTACAATATGATGAATTATTATACATAATATAATATATTCCATAAATTAGACATTGTTTTTTATTTCTCGTGGTTATTTAGAGGATATTATCTTTGAATATACATCATAGACAATTGGTAATGTTTACGAAATATTCATTTATATAAATTAATTCTAGGGTGATTTCAACGTCATCTTATATTTTTTTATGATAAATATTTATTTACTTTTTAAACCGCATCATTGTCGGACGTTGCATGATGCGAGAATTGCAGCAACTGATAGACTTTGCAAGTCATTAATAGTATTTGTAATTTGAAAACAATTCAGAATATAATATAATATAATTATATGCCCTCGGAGTGTAAACATAATATTATTATTATTTTTTTTCATTGAGCCTAAGCCTGGCAACTATGGCCATTAGCTGTTTTTGTGTGTAGGTGGGGAGGAACGGTTGGTTGAAACACGTTTGTATGTGCGGTAAGGATTTGTTGCTAAAGTAATCCCGGGTGGTCACCCATCCGAGAGCTAGTAACACAGTGAGTTTCCGCAGTTGACTGTACGGACTTCGCCAAGTCACAATATTATAATAATACTATTATTATGTTGTCCGTTAAATCACCTAATCAGATTTCCGTAACCGATACGTAGTTCAGTAATTTCTGAATATTAATATTAAATCAGATTAATAATTATTTTGATGAGTTATGTCAAAATTTGAACTTTAAATGCTTATTTTACTAATATGCATCATTATTATTTTAGATTCTGAGAAGAGCGATGAATGTATTGATTTTACAATGATGTGTGTTTTTTTTTTATTTTAATTTCTGGGTCTGTCATCACCTTTTAGGACAGTAAAAATGCTTAGATTTTCTTCAACAGCATCTTTTCTGGTAGGAAAGTGAATCTAGTTGGTACACCGAGGGGTCAAAAGTAAGAATTCCACAGTGGTTTTCAAAAGCGACTTTAAAAACAAAAGAAAAATTAAGGAAAAACTGGAATTTTTACTCAAAATCTGTTTTCAAGAAAATCAATTTTGGTTTTTGGTGCAACTCCGAAACAAATGACCGTAGGGTAGGTACATGAAATTTTGACTGAATGTTCCAAATATTTTGATTTATTTTGAGCTATTTACGGGCATTTTCAGTTTCCATTTTTTTTAGTTTTTTTTTCTACAAATATCAATAAAATTTTATTTGTTGGTTAAAAAAGCTTTAAAATTTAATAGAAGGCTTCTAATATATTGTTTCAAAGGCAGATGAAAAAAATTAAAAATCCAAAATCCACAATTATCTTTTATAAGCATTTAAAGTTCAAATATTGACAAAATACGTAAAAATGACAAATATTTGAAAATTATTTTGAGTTAGAAATTCATAAGAAATTTTCTTTTTAAATCTAAGATTTGAAAATGTAATACAATATTTCTCATAAGTTTTTCTACCTTTATCAAAAAAAAAAAATGCCTACAAGAAACTCAAATTAAATTTTAATGAGAGTTTGAACTTCAAATTTTTACAACATTTGATATTCTCTCGATTTCTCATGTAACGATTTTCTTATTTTATTGTAAAAAAGCTGGCCAAGTGCGAGTCGGCCTCGCGCACGAAGAGTTCCGTACCATTATCTAATGTCTGTTGTCATTTGCGGGGTGGGAAAAAAATTCAGGCCAGGTTAATTTTATTAATCAAAGCTTTGTTAGTCAATCCTATAGTAGGTACCTTTAAAAATGCAAAAAGAAGCTAAATTTATCCACTGAAACGTTCAAGGATACCGTGATTATTTAATGCCTATTACTAAATAATTACAAAACAACCTAAATTTATAAGATAAATTAATTTATAAAATTACCTTCTCAATGTATAGGTACTTATTTCATTAGTATTAACGCTATCGCGTTAAAATCAACTTTCACTTGACTGTAAACAGTCGGATATCAAGTGTAACAGTTGTATCTACTACGAATAGCAGTCTCGGTGATGTCGAATATATCTGTTATCTGAATTTCAGCAGTTTCTCCTCAACAGTAGGTACTTGTTCCGGCGAGGAAAATAACAGTGGACTGTATAATTTTGTAACTTAAAACGATTCACTATAATTCTGTATTGAAATTTATAAAACGAATCTTTGTATACGACGTCACTCGTGGTAACTATTTATAAACAAAAATTTCCATCTGAAATCTCAAAATTCCCGTTTTAGCACCCCCCGGGGTTGCTCCTATCCCTTTTTTAGTATTTGTTGTTATAGCATCCACGGAAATACATAATCTGTGAAAATTTCAACTTTCTAACTTTCATGGTTCATGAGATACAGACTAGCGACAGACGGACGGACGGACGGACAGCCGAGCGAAAGTAATAGGCTTCCGTAGGGAAACTTACGGAACCCTAAAAACGAATGACTGTAGATACTTTTTTTTTTTAAATTTCACTGAATGTTTATATTAGCATTTTCTATACACCATAACATTTTCAAAATATTTTGATTTGTTTTGAACTGTTTAGGAACATTTTAAGTTTCCAATTTCATTAGTCCTTTTTTCTATGAATGTCAATAAAACTTTATTTGTTGGGTAAAAAAGCTTAAACGTTTAATACAAGGCTACTGATATATTGTTACAATAGCAGTTGAAAAATATTAAAAATACATAGTAGGTAACAATTTTTTTTTATAACCATTTAATTTCAAATTTTGACAAAATACAGAAAAATCACTAAAATTAAAAATGTAATAATTATTTTGTAGGTATTAAAATATTTATAAAATGTTCAACACTTATAGCTAAGGATTGAAAATTTAAAACAAAGTTCCACTTATTTAGGTTATAATATATAAATTACTTTATTCACAATAATATCATCAAATATACTTAGTTATATCATAGGCTGACTGACCGTTTTCGCTCAGTATCGTTTTTCTTATAGGTACAATGATATTATATCATTAATTCAAATTTAACATCATCCATTATAGTGACCCACTTGTAACCTACTATACAGCAGAGTGACATCCACTTACCCACCTTTTTAAACTTAAAAATCTTATATTATTCTGTATTCATTATCTATATAATATTTATATAATCATGACTACATCATGACATGAATTGTAATTCAATTGAATTAATTGAATAACAATCATCAAATTTTCAATCAAATATTATTTTTAAACCCTTCTATTGTTCAGCTTATTACTTCAGCATGTTAATGCTCATATGATGTACGATGGCGCAGCTAAATAAACAATGCGCAAACGATGTACGATATTTTGGC